CTTATACAAAGTTATGAAAATTGCATGGCCTGTGGCGACTACTGTATACATAACGCCACATGTAACTTTTAGGGATGAAATTAGAGTGTTTCTTCTTATGTGCCCGTGTTTTTTATTATTATCATCGTGTGGTTTGCTTCTCAACAGTTCTTCTTCTTCCTTCTTCCTTCATTTTTTGCGCAGTGTTTCTGCTTTTATTTCTATTTGGCACCGATTCATTCCTCACAGTGTTCTCCTTTATTCCCTTATTGTTCATCTTTCTTCACCTTGCCCCTAGGTACAACATCCCAAATGAATTACAACTCACCTGAATATCGTTCACTTTCTCCACCAGAGTTTGGTAGTAGCGGGAGCCCATTTCCACGGGCGCCTTGCTGAGGCCCAGCTTAATGAGTTTTGCCCAAACGTTGGCTCTCAACTCGGCAGGGATGCCCATCCGGCATATTTTCTTTAGCCTAGCCTAAAGTTTGAAAAGCGGAAAAAAAACAAATATGAAAAAGATTGCCAGGTGCGTATATCCCAGGGGTTTCTCCATCGTTCTATGATAATTGAGAAAATAAACAAAAATTTTGGAGGGGCGCTCAACGATTGCTTTGTGTTTTGGAGCTTAGTATCGAGCCCCGCCCGAAGCCGCACAGTAGCTTCCAATTTAGGCAGAATGACCTTACGGACCAAGGCAAGGGATACCAAAATGACCATTTCTGGCTTATTAGCCGTCATCAGCCAGCCTGCAGGTTCGCAAAATCTGAGGATCGACGTTGCAACCTGTTGGTTAGAAGTTCAGCATCCGCGGCTCAATGGTTTTGGCGTAGGACTTCTATGTAAAAGGTCACTACTTCGAGTCTCAGATGTTGGCTACGGCTGGCTAGTGACTGTTTATATGTCAAAATGGACCGTTCCAAAGAAGCAGTAGGTAGTAAATAAAATTCCAGGTTTCATAAAACCTGCTTTATATGCGAAACCGATGACATAAAAGACCTCCATTATTAAACAACACCTCAACAGGACACTTTTGACGCAGTCAGCAGTATACCTTTAACCTCTGACATGCAGTGAGAGTATCTCCTGAAGTCATTGCTTGTGAGACCTTTACATCACCGAATATGACAATCCTGTATTTTATAGGTTGTTTTCTAATATGCAAAAAATACGACCATGCCACTAATACTGGCTGGTGACCGAACGGGTGACCCGAAAGATCCGGGTTTCTATAGGAGATGAACACATGCTTGGGAGATTCTCGAAACGCCTTCGCGCGCCCAATTAGAAGACTGATATAATTACGCCCATTTCAATCAAGCGTCTATCATATGCTCATTTCTGTCCACCGCACTCTGAATAAATTATCGATCCACACAACCAGATTTATATTGGAGGTATACATGCACTTACAACATAATGACAAAATATCGATCTGTGGGCAATCGATAGTTTAAGAAAGCCTTGCGTCAAGGAGATGAATGAACTCAGGCTGTCCAACGATGACGATGAAATTCCGAGCGTTTTGGTTTCAAAATTCCGTAAATGGACCGAATGGACAGAAGCAAGCTGATAAGTCAAAATTGGCGACCTTTCCTATCGTTCTGCCCACATTTGCATAAGAAATATACTCTTTCGCATAACCATTTCGGACTTAATAACGCATACCGGGATTCTCACTTTTATTTGCGTAAGCGCAAGTACCGCACGCCAAAACCCTTTCAAGAGCAAACATACTATTTTAAAAAAATTGATTAAGAACGCTGAAATGCCTACTTCTGTCTTGTTTGATATCATCCATCTGTGGAATCACAGTCACAGACTGAGGGCCGGGAGTTAAGTGATCTCCAAGCACTCCTCTTGAGCTATCGGTACATATCTTGTCTCCCAAGATTAAAACCTCTCCTTTCTCGTCTAGAAGACAACGGGAACATTTTCTCTTGCCACTGATGTCCTTATCTGGGATACCTGCGGACTTTCGCATTGCGACTTGCTCAAGCCTCGGGGGTCGCTGCCCCCGGCGGTTGAGTATGTCTAGGTGATGACGACTGTCAAGCCAGAAATGGCTATTCCAGTCTCCCTAGTCGTTGCCGTTAACGCTATTCTGTCCATAATATATGCTAGTCGTTGAGCCAGTTAAGTTCTGCAACCGATTAGTGAACGCATGTCCACCCTTTCGAATATCTCCGATCAAAACCGACAAGGCAAAGACATCGTGGCGCAGTGATTAGAACGTAAGACCTGAAAGTAGCAAGGTCGCGGGTTCGAGCCTCGGGCCAGACACCACTTGACATCGACTATGGCTGGCTGACGACGGCTAATAAGGCAGAAATGGGCATTCTTGTCTCCCTTACCTTTGTCGATTATGTAGTTCTGCCTATAATATATACATATGCTAGTGCGGGGCTCAGAGATCTGGTTACACTTCATATATAAGTATATATACCTGAGTCTTGTTGTGTATGAATAGATGATGACTACTAATAAGGCAGAATTGGACAGCTTAACCTCACCTATCTTTTCCGGTTATCTCGCTATGCCTCAGCGTATATATATATATATATGTGTGAACCAAGATGATAACTTCAGAATTGATTAAAGGAGGCGGAGATACCTATTGTTTGGCCAAAAACCTCGCATCTGTGCCTTGCAGCAACAGAAACATGGGCGAACACACATCGGAGCTTTCAGCTAGTGTCTATGTCAACAGTATGGCACAACGCTTTCTCCATTATGCATGTTCCTTTATAGCCGGCAATAATTTTTTGGGGAAGTACGAATGAATGTCTGCTAAATGTTCCAGACAGTTTTCCCAGGTTGTCTTTGTCATCGTTGTCAGACTTTGCGTAGGCCGGAAACGTTGGACGCCGCAATTTTTTTCACCCAAAACCCCGGTAAGCTTGCCGCCTGTTACTAAAAACTAAACTAACGTCCCCCACACAGCCTCCAAGTAGTTTTTCTTCTGCGGTAAAAAAACAATCAAGATGAAACAAGCGCATCGTGCATCCGCGCTCGGTGAGTGATCTTTTCCTGTGGACAAAAAAATTGTTTTAAGTACGAATAAAAGACCACTTTTTCCGCCACCGCCGCCGATACCCGACAAACACCATGGGACACACTGACGGAATTTCTCCTCAAAGGATCCAGCGGCACACTGCCTCCTACCCTCCCCGCGTCAACTACCAAGCAGCGAAAAACTCACCGCAATTTTTTGTCTCAAACGGAAATAGTACCCGGGTTTGCATTTCGTGAAACCTACCTGTAGGGGAAGTGCTTTTCTTAACGTAGCCGGATGGGAAAAATGCCTTCTTTGCAGGCCCAAGCTCTTGTACGAGGTGGATAAGTTCAGCCAGCCCAGGCAGTGCTGACCCGCTGAATAGGTGCTGGCATAGTAAAACAAAGTAAAAGTCATTTTCCGCCACTTTCTACCATCCAAGCCATCCTAATGGCCAGCCTTGAAGTCGCTCTCGTGAGAACGTCTGCAAATGACTTGGCCACGTGCATACGACACCCACCAGAGCGCAATTGATGACTCATACCCCAAATAATGTTAGTACTGCTTGGCTGACGGCTAAAAATCAATAAATCGATAATGTTTTTGATAGCGTATCTACTGCACAGACAGCGGAACTTCTAGGCTTTTGTTCAATTTTAGATGAATATTCAACCTAAAAATCAATATTTTTCTGTTGATGGGGCGCTGTTCACTCATACCCTGGGTATTTGCTGAAAGTCCATCTCAAGGATACTGGCCCACTGGAGTTTTCGAAGGGTCTCCTCAGAGGAACGCAGGCTGTAGAACTGTGATAGGCGATTGCAGAGATAGAGCAGAGCAATGTCAGCGTTAGGGAAGCTGTACATGAAACCATAGGCGTCCATGTGGTACTGATTCCCGGAGAGTCTGTAAGTTAAAAAAAGGATAAGAGACGTGACATAAAAGTGAACGTTCGAATGCAAAAACAAAAATGTTTCTTAAACGAGCGCAGGGACTTACAATTTTCCTGTGGGCAAGCGGGGGTCATCGCTTCGGGCACTTTCGAGGAGTTGGCAGACACGGTTCCTGTGCTGAAGTACAAAAAGAACGCCCAGTCAGGATCCACAAAACTTTAATTACTACCGAAGACTTTACTGAAGGCG